CCCACCAGATGGTGCTCTAGGCCTGCACATGATCCTCCTCATCTCAGGACCAGAGAGGTGCAGTGACCACTCATCCCCACCAGATGGTGCTCTAGCTGTGTGTAACGTACTCTTCTTCTCTGGTCCAGGAGATGCAGTGAACAATGTTTCCCACCAGATGGTGCTCTAGGCCTGCACATGATCTTCCTCATCTCAGGACCAGAGAGGTGCAGTGACCACTGCTTCCCACCAGATGGTGCTCTAGGTATGCACACTGTCCTCAGGACCCTTGGCGTCCCACAAGCCCCGCCCCTGGACCGCTTACTTCCTGCTCCTGCCCCACCCCTGCAGTGCTCCACTCCTCCTCCTAGCCTGTAGCTGCAGCTATTTCTGCCCAGGACACTGTAAAACGTGAAGCCCTGATGAAGTGTCCCAAAGCCTCAGTGCCAAAGACAGACTAGCCTCTGCTTGGTCCTGCTGCAAACTTTAGTGTCTGAAGCCCAGAGCAGTCTTGTCCAAGTGTTATGGAGAAAAGAGTCCACCACTCAGACAGCCTCATGTAAAAAGGTGACTTTATTGGGGAAGTGGAGATCTAACAGGCCAGGGATGCAGCACAGACTCAGGAGCTGAAACTGTGCGCTTTCTCAGCTTCAGGGTGCCGGGACTCATAGTCCACAGGACATGGCCTCTTCACGTCTCCTATGCCACAGGTCCTGAGGCCAGGAGGACAGTGCACAGCGCCTAGGGCGCCCTCTGGTGGGCATCGGGACCCACCGCACCCCGGATCCTGATGAGAGGACAGTGTGCAAGCCTGGAGCGCCCTCTGGTGGGCATCAGTGCTCACCGCACCCCGGGTCCTGATGAGGACAGTGCACATGCCTAGGGCGCCCTCTGGTGGGCATCAGTGCTCACCGCACCCCGGGTCCTGATGAGGACAGTATGCAAGCCTGGAGCGCCCTCTGGTGGGCATCAGTGCTCACCGCACCCTGGGCCCTGATGAGAGGAGAGTGTGCAAGCCTGGAGCGCCCTCTGGTGGGCATCAGTGCTCACCGCACCCTGGGCCCTGATGAGGACAGTGTGCAAGCCTGGAGCGCCCTCTGGTGGGCATCAGTGCTCACCGCACCCCGGGTCCTGATGAGGACAGTGTGCAAGCCTAGGGCTCCCTCTGGTGGGCATTAGTGCTCACTGCACCCCGGGTCCTGATGAGGACAGTGCACAGGCTAGGGTGCCCTCTGGTGGGTATTAGTGTTCACCGCACCCCGGGTCCTGATGAGGACAGTGCACAGGCCTAGGGCACCCTCTGGTGGGCATTAGTGCTCACTGCATCCCGGGTCCTGATGAGGACAGTGCACATGCCTAGAGCGCCCCCTGGTGGGCATCAGTGCTCACCGCACCCCGGGTCCTGATGAGGACAGTGCACATGCCTAGAGCGCCCCCTGGTGGGCATCAGTGCTCACTGCACCCCGGGTCCTGATGAGGACAGTGCACAGGCTAGGGCTCCCTCTGGTGGGCATTAGTGTTCACCGCAGCCCGGGTCCTGAGGAGCACAACTTCTTGAAAAGATCCAGTGGCCTTTGCTTTCACAGCTATATGTTTATAGCACAAGTCATTAGCATCATATGTGTTTAATTACCCCATTAAGCTGCACACTACACTCCTTTCGAAAGAAATAACTTTATTTACTTATTGTGCCTCATTCACGAGAGTTATGGTTTGGATAAGAATTTCCTACACAGGCTCCTGTGTTGATGCTTACTCTCCAGGCGTGGTGCATTTTCAAGGGCTCTGGAAACTTGGGGAGATGGGGGCCTAGCTGAAATAGTTCATGGGCACTACTGGGCCTTGAACTCGGGTCTTAGGTGCAGTCCATCCCTGAGCTTTTTCACTCGAGCCGGCACATTACCACTTGAGCAATGGCTCCACTTCCAGCTTTTGTTTCAGTTGTCAATGGAAGGTAAGTCTCAAGGCTTTTTCTGCCCTATCTAGATTTGAACTCTCAAAGCCTCCCGAGTAGCCACAGATGCCCTGCACAAGCCTCATCTCTCCAAAGATTCTGCCCCACAACATTGCTAGACAAGGGACCAGGCCTCTGACACAGGACCTTTGGAGACAAACCACATCCAAACCACACCAGTAACCATTCATGGTTATAACTTAAGATTTAAATTATTACAGTTTTTATGTTTTTCCTCATTGTAGAATCTCCTAGAAGACTCAGCAGATCCAATGACAGGAAAAGAAATGAATTTGTCAGTCTCTGAAGGTTTAAAGTATATCCATTAACCTCTAATCTTCATGTAAACCAGAAGATATGCGGTTTCCTGCCTGTAAAGAGAAATTTATCAGCATAGCAAAATTAAACATTTACAATGAAAGGCTATGTGTATTTTTGGGTGGGTTGTGGGACTTGAACTCTGGGCCTGGGCACTGTCCCAGCTCAAGGCGAGGGCTCTACCACTTGAGCCATAAAGCCACTTCTAGTTTTCTGTAGCTAGTTACTTGGAGATAAGAGTCGCAAACATTTTCCTGCCCAGGCTGGCTTTGAACCGCAATCCTCAGATCTCAGCCTCCTGAGTAGCTAGGATGACAGGAGTGAGCTAGCTACCAGTGCCCAGTTGAGGGGATATATTATTGATTCACAATAGGACCAAACTTCCAGGATAATGGAGCAAACCTTCATCTACCTACCTGTCCGTCTCATCAAAGGAAAAGAAAATAGTGACTTGGGAAACTAACCTGGAAGTTCTTATTAGCTAACATACAAATCATGGACAGCATGGTGCATGCCTGTGATCCTAGCTACTCAGGAGGCTGAGATCTGAGGGTCATGGTTCAAAGACAGCCTGGACAGAAAAGTCTGTGAGACTCTTATCTCCAATAAACTAATCAGAAAAAGCTGGAAGTAGCACTGTGGTTCGAGTGGTAGAGCATTAATCTTGAATACAAAGAGGCTCAGGGATAGCACCCAGGCCCTGAGTTCAAACCCAGGACTAGAAGAAAGAAAGAAAGAAAGAAAGAAAGAAAGAAAGAAAGAAAGAAAGAAAGAAAGAAAGAAAGAAAAAGAAAGGAAAGAAAGAAGGAAGGAAGGAAGGAAGGAGGAAAGGACCAGGGACAGACATATTATGGGACTATAAGCCAACTCCAACCCTGTTTTTTGTAAATAAACTTAATTGGAACATGGCCACTTACATTCATTCATTCACGTGCTATCTGTGGCACCCTGCATGTTGCAAGGGCAAAGCTGAGTAACAGCTACAAAGGCTATGCTCCAAAACCCTAAGTACTTTCTCTCTAACTTGTACAGAGAAAGTTTGCTAACCCCTATTCTAAATCACAGGGGAATGAATAACCAAAAATTGGCTAAGAACAGGCACCTAAGAGAAATGTTGAGAATAAATAAAAACATGAAAAGTAGGTAAAAGGAAGATATCAAACATGAACTCCACCTAATCCATTAATTATGAAATCAAGCCACTGGTGTAGCTGAATATCACCTGGTACAAACACCATCACCCCCAATACCATCTCCACTACCTACCCTCTCACCCCCAATACCATCTCCACTACCTACCCTGTCACCCCAATACCACCTCCAGTACCTACACTGTCACCCCAACACCACCTCCAGTACCTACACTGTCACCCCAACACCACCTCCAGTACCTACACTGTCACCCCAATACCACCTCCACTACCTACACTGTCACCCCAATACCACCTCCAGTACCTACACTGTCACCCCAATACCACCTCCAGTACCTACACTGTCACCCCAATACCACCTCCACTACCTACACTGTCAGTGCCATCTCCACCTCCAGTACATATAAAAATCTCTGCCTTGACTTTATCCAGCTTTTCTCTCTAGGTTACTACGTCAGAAGCATGTCCTGACGCTTACTGAGAAAGAGGAGAGTGGTCCTGGCCCCTGGTCTTCTGGGCACCACTGGCTCACACTTGTAACCATTGTTATTCAGGAGGCTTAGATCAGAGAATTTAGGTTCAAAGCCATCAGAGCAGAAAAGTCTTTGATACTCTTATCTCAAATTAACCACACAAAAGCAGGCAGTGGAGTTGTGGTTCATGTGGTAAAGCACTAGCCTTGAGTGAAAAAGCTCAATGCCTAGGCCTAGACTTCAAACCCAAGAACTAGCACTAAAAAAAAAAAGAGCACATGGTCTGGTGTGAGGGGAAAAGTCACAAAATCAGAAAACATTTTGAAGTGTAATAAAGGAGGCCTGCTCAAAAGGCATGGAAAGCAAATAAGATAGCCCTGCCTTTGGAGCTCCAGGGTGCAATCGGTTAGCCGGGTACTGATAAGATAGCCCCGCCAATCCGCTGGGGCCCATCAGTAAAGGCTTTGCGCAATAGGAAAGACCGTGATTATAAAAACACCACTAGGCACTTGCTCAGAAGATAAATTAGGGCAGGGTAATAGAGACCAGAAAATACAGCTACACAGTTACAGAAAATGATGGACATGGAATTGGGACTTATGCCAGTGCTTTACTGAAGTCTAAATTCTGAGGGAAGTGTGGTGCCACGGATGACTGCTGAAAGATGAGGCTGAATGGTAGTCAGTGGGGACTCTCGGATAAAGGCAATAGTTCATCCATGCAGATTTCACAAAGCTCCAAGAACCCAGTGGACTCCATTCCCCCAAGTGCTTCTCTTACCAGCGGTAGTGATGATTTCCGTAGGTACACTGGACATCTTCCCAGGACACCTGGAAGAGCATCACAGACATCAGCAGCTGGTTGGCAGCTGCTATTACGTGTTGACAGAACAGGGGACACTGTAATGTGCCCTGTTAGACTCCTGCAGAGTGGAGAAGCCCACCCTGGCGACCACACAGCATCAGAGCATCTGGTGACACAACGCCGTGCACCCTGAGGCCCTCTGTAATGTCCCCACTCACCTTGAAATGCTTACACCTATCCCAGAGTTTTACACCTTGCATCTTTCTAACGTCTCACTTCACAGAAGTTTCCTACAAAGCATAAACCTTCAAGGTACAGGGCCAAGAGCACCAGAAACCTAACACTGACACAACAGATGCTTAGAAAGCAATAAACCAAGCCGGGTGCTGGTGGCTCACGCCTGTAATCCTACTCAGGAGGCTGAGATCTGAGGATTGCGGTTCAAAGCCAGCCCGGGCAGGAGAGCCCGTGAGACTCTTATCTCCAATAAACCACCAGAAAACCGGAAGTGGCGCTGTAGCTCAAGTGGTTGAGCGCTCTCCTTGAGCTGAAGAGCTGAGGGACAGCGCCCAGGCCCAGAGTTCAAGCCCCATGACCGACCAAAAAAAAAAAAAGAAAGCAATAAACCATGGCTGGGAAGGTGGCTCAGTGGTAGAGTGCTCGCCTAGTATGCATGAAGCCCTGGGTTCCATTCCTCAGTACCACATGAAGTGGCGCTGTGGCCGAAGTGGTAGGTAGAGCACTCACCTTGAACACAAAGAGGCTGGGAAACAGCACCCAGACCCTGTGTCTAAGCCCCAAGACAAGCAAAATAAATAAATAAATAAAGCAATAAACCTAGAGAATGGCTTTGAGCCACAAAACTCCCCAGCTCCTACACACAAACTACAAGACCATAATGCGTCTTCAACTATGAGCTGAGAATTTATTGAAGGTGGCTAATTCAGAGAAGGAGGAAAGTTTAGATGATGGTTCTCACCCAACAAACATTGGAGTCATTGAAGCAGAGCCATTTTCCATCCGCTGGATTCCGGATGTAGGTACAGTAATGACCGAAGTCTGCCACCCCTGCGTGGGCTATCACAGCGAAGAGTTCATACTGTGCTTCACGCTGGAAGAGGACACGGCTGTAAGTGACCCACCCCTCCTTTCCCAGCCCTGGTCTTTAGTGAGGAAGCATACTTTGCCAGGCACTTGTTTATTGCCTGCTCTAGGCCCGGCACTGACACTTCAAAGGAGCTGGAAGAAAAGACCTCGACCTGCAGAATCTCACAGCTAGTTGAAGAGAAGCATCACAAACCAGAACTGTGATGCCTGTGTTATATCAGACCCACAGACCAGTGAGTGGGGAATGTTCAATTTTTGCCCAGTGGGGCTCTGAGGAGACCTCTGTTAACCGTGCAGAAGGGCTTTTTAACATTGGCAGACAAGTTATCAGAAGGGAATTTGTTTTGGTTTGGTTTGGGGGGTGGGGAGGGATTGTGAAGTTTTTGTTTCACCTTGGTTTCTTCCTTGTTTTTGTTGGTTTGTTTTGGAAGTTGCGGTTTGAACCCAGGGCCTCCTGCGTGCCAGGCAGGAGCCTTACCATTGAATCACGCCCCTAGCTCTATTTTGTGCTGTTTTTTCCTTCCCCAGGCAAACATCTGGAACATGATTTCCCCCACTGCAGGCTTCCTGATTAATGGGCTGATAGGCACATGCCACCATCTGAACAGAAGACATAGTCTGAAAGTCTTCAGTTCAAGGTTAATGAAACTGTGAGAAATATGAGGTGAGAAGAAAGGGAGCTAGAGTATCCACAAAATGGTGACAGAAAAGAACCCAAAAGCGGACAGCGAAACAGCAGGACAGAAGCCTTATAAAGACAGTAGGACAAGAAGAGGAATGTTACAGACGCAAAGTCTCTACTACATGTGTTCCACTCCCTCAAAATCTTAGAAAACTGTTTAAAAGAAAAGGGAACATTAGTAGTGAGAGTTTGGGCTGACTTTTATGTTAGTCAAGAGTATTTCTTGGGCTGGGAAGGTGGCTCAGTGGTTGAGCGCTTGCCTTGCATGCATGAGGCCCTGGGTTCGATTCCTCAGCACCACATAAGCAAAAAAGAAAAAAGCCGGAAGTGGCGCTGTGGCTCAAGTGGTAGAGCGCTAGCCTTGAGCTGAAGAGCTGAGGGACAGCGCCCAGGCCCAGAGTTCAGGCCCCACGACCGGACCCAAAAAAAAAAAAAAAAGAGTATTTCTTGCCGGGCGCTGGTGGCTCACGCCTGTCATCCTAGCTACTCAGGAGGCTGAGATCTGAGGATCGTGGTTCAAAGCCAGCCCGGGCAGGAAAGACCATGAGACTCCTATCTCCAATAAACCACCAGAAAACTGGAAGTGGTGCTGTAGCTCAAGTGGTAGAGCGCTCGCCTTGAGCTGAAGAGCTGAGGGACAGCGCCCAGGCCGAGTTCAAGCCCCACGACCAACAAAAAAAAAAAAAAAAAAGAGTATTTCTTTCTTTCAAAAAAACCCATAGCAGCAGAAACCCAACAGTGGTTATTAGGGGTTGTAATGAAAGATGCTGATCAAAGCGCACAAACTTCCAGTTAGACGGGAGGAAGAGGTTTCAGAACAATGTCATACAATATCGTAATTATAATGTGCTCCACACTGGAAAATGCTTTTAAAGAATTTTTACACATGCTCACCACAAAGACACAGGTGAAGTGATAAGTATGTTGTCTAGCTTGAGCTAATTTTTCCAAAATTTGAGGATGGGTGCGGTTGCACACCTATAATCCAGGTTCACCAGAGGGGGAGATCAGAAAGGCTGTGGACAAAGTCAGCCTGGCGAGAAAGCTAGTGAGACTCCAATCTCAACAGACAAGCCAGACATAAGTGCACACCTGAAAGCCCGGCCATGGGAGAGGCAAAGGTAGAAGAGCAGTCCAAGGTCAGGCCTGGACAAAAACAAGACACTGCCTGATAACAGAACTCAAGCAAAAAGGCCCAGTGGCTTGGCTCAGATGGTGAATGGTGATGTGCTTGCTACAGGCCCAGCATGACACAGTAGTCAGTGCCAAGACCACAAGATACCATTTCGCCGGCATGCGTATGTCAGAGCACCACACTGAAATCCCTACACACAAATACTTTCCATTTGTCAACATTGGAAATAAGGCAGGTTTGTTCTGAATCTTTAAAGAAATTAACACTAGGAACAGCAAAGGCTTATAATGATAACCCCAGCACGGACCCTGGGGGACCACATGGTCATTAAAATCAATAATGCTTAGAAAAAAACAAAAACAGCCTTTCTTTTATTTGTGAGACAGGGTCTTAACTGTGTAGCTCACACTGGCCTTGAACCAATGCCCCTCTGGTCTACGTCTCCCAGCCGCAAAGAAGATAGGCATGTGCCAACATACTGGCTGAAAAATAAATAAATTGAATTTAAAATGTTTTTAAGCCCTCTGCCTTGAATATGACTTTGCCTCTGTGACTCACTGTGGAGGTGAGCTGAAGACCAAATCGCTAACCCGGGCCTGGGGATTCACCAGTCGGTGCCATCTAGCAGTCGAGGGGTAAGAGCGCTGAACCTGAAGAACGCTGCATCCGGTAGGATCGATCCAGAACACCTCACCTGCTCTGTGTCCTCAGTGAAGTCTTGATGCTCAGCCAGAAGAACCTGACTGAGATCCAAGCGCTGAGGGAAGTGCAGCGAATGGCAGACTTTCTCCGTCTGTGAGTTCCGAATGGAGAATCGCATCAGGTGAAGGGTCAGGGTTTGGGGCAGATGTGTCATCCTCAAGACCTGCAAAAGCAAAACTCACTGTGAGACGGGGCCCCGAGGCGCTTGCGGGAAGATCCTGAGAAACACAGGGCCTGGTGGCTCGTTCTCCTCCCCAGGGGGAGGGGTGCGGGGGACACACTGGGGAGCTGAAGGGGCCCATGGCAGAATCCGTTCCTCTCCCCGGAGACTCAGGTGATGGTGGCCAGCACAGCACTATGGCCCTCAGACAAAAGCCATGAGCGGCTCAGGGCTCCGCAGAGGCGCCCGGCCCTCAGAAACTAGAGTCTGCTGTAGGGAGCGTCTCCAAAACCGAAGAGGGACCCCACCGCCCCCACCCAGCCCCACGCCGTCACCTGCCACTCCTGGTGGAAGGCTGTGGTCAAGAAGCAGCATCCACAGCCCGGTCTATGAGAAGCCCGAGGGTCCGAACTAGCCTCACCCACATCCCACCCCATCCGCCACCAGGAAGGGCCCGGAAGTGTCTGGAAAGCCGTGGCCCAGCAACAGCCCGCCCTGGAGACGCATCTGAGCCTGAGGGTGACCATCAGGAAGGGCCCGGAAGTGTCTGGAAAGCCCGCCCCGGAGACGCATCTGAGCCTGAGGGTGGGCACCTGGCTTCCACGCGTCTTCGTCCCGCAGGCCTCGCAGAACCACCTGCTCTTGCTGGCTAACTCCCTGGGGTGGAAAAAACAGCGCAGGGCCTCCTCCTGCCAGCGGAGGCCGCAGGGAAAGGCCGCGTCAGCAGACCCTTTCCACGGGCACGCGGCCACCCCACAGGTGAGGGCTGAGCTCCGCTGCCGGTCCCCCACTGTCCCCCAAGCACCCCACTACCAGCGCTACATCTGTCAGGATCTTCCACCCACTGGGGGAGAAAACACGAGGAGCCCTGGTTAATACGACAGTGTGAGAAAATTAGAAATAGGATAGAACTGCTGCTGCTGCTCAAAGAAATTGGCCACCTAGAGCCATGCACGTGAAACAGAGTTATTGTTAGTGTCCGCGGGCAGAAGGTCACGGGGGACCTGGCATGGCGGGGCGACCCCTTCTCGCCCCGTCTCTCACCAGTGTTTTCAGAGGCTTGGAGTCCACGTCATAGAGAGAGAGGGAGAGGGTCAGCATACTGCTGTTCCTACTACTCTCTCTGGTACAGAGGAGGCAAACCAGGGACTCCTTCACCCGGATCGTGTACAGGGCCTGCAGCCTCTCTACCTGCAGGAAGGAGCCAAGGACGGGTGAGGCTATGTCCAGAGTTGGACCTGTTGGACTGACAAGCCCTGACGCTTCCGGCAGGTACCGGGAAGGACACCAGGAAACGAGCAAGCGGTCTCCACGGATCCCTTACTACAAATGCACAATGGTGAGCAACCTCTACAGGTCCTGGGATTTCAGCTCTTACCAAGTCCACATCATCTATTTGATCCTTAAGAAGGTTCCAGAACGTGAGGTAGAGCTGAGCAGCATCGTGCTGGACAAACACTGGTTAAAAAAAAGTAACAGCACATCAGTGCAGTCGCCGGAGAAGTCCCGTGTCCTCACGACCCCTAACTATGTGAACACTCACCACCTTGCCTTTGACTCTCCCAACTCCCAAAAAAGGTCAGGAGGTACCGCATGTTAGGCGCTCAGGAAGTGAGAAGTATTCTTGGTGCTGGATTTGACAGTGCCTCTTAAACTTAAGCCTCGGGAAGGGAACAAGGCTCTGCTCTACGCGCTCTGAAGGGCCTCGGTGGAGGGGGAAAGGCCAGAGCAGGAGCTGAACTCCCTGAGCGGCGCAGAGAGGCAGGCACATGCTGACGGGCCGGCCGGGGACTGCCAGGCATGCCCCACCTGGCCCCACTGGATTCCGTAGAACAGACCAGCTCCAGGGACTCTCCAGAGCACAGGAGCGGCACCTCCTCACTCCATCCGCTGCTCTGTTCCCAGCTCGCACCTGGCCAAGCCAGAACTCTGAAGGGAGGCGCAGACCACCAGACAGAGCGCCAGACGGCATTCGTTCTCAGCAAAGAAAGAAAAATGACTCTTTTTTGCTTTACTTTTTTTATATACTGGTCCTGGGGTTTGAACTCAGGGCTGGGCGCTGTCCCTGAGCTTTTTTTCCTCAAGGTTGGTGCTCTACCACTTGATCTATGGCTGAACTTTCAGCTTCTCTTGTTTTTGGTTAATTGGAGATAACAGTCTGGTGGGCTTTCTTACCCAGGCTGGTTTCAAACTGTGATCCTCACATCTCGGCCTCCACAGTAGCTAGCCTGAGCCGCAGGTCCCTAGCTTTTTTTTTTTTTTAATGTTGTACCAGTTATCACTTTTGTAAATTGCCATTTCTTTCTCTGTAGTTCTTCTTTTCACTCTCCCCGTCTTAGACTTACAGAGCATTGTACACTAGGTTTATTCTACCTTCTTCCTTTTCCTTTCCTTCTTTTTTCATCCCTAGCTTTTCTGTCACCTTGCAATTCTTGATACCACCTTTCTCCACAATAACTGAGCTATATTCAAACACACGATTATTTTGTACACTTTCAACCCTAACCTTCCCAATTTTTAACCTTTGATTTTTAACTCATACACAAATTTTACTCTTCTAGTCTCCTATTGTGCCATATAAGAACACTAGTTCTTATGAGCCCATTGGACTTACTCTAAACATTTGGTTAGGTACTGAATCAATGAGATTGTTAGTACTGAGTAAATCCCCAGGAGGGTGGTGAAAAAATGCATTATCAACCCAGCTAATACCCATTTCTGTCAGAATACAGACAACATTTCAATGTATGTTTTTCAGACAACTAAAACCCCAAACTATAAATTAGGTTTAAATGAGCAAATCTTTTTTTTTTCCTGCCAGTCCTGGGGCTTGAACTTAGGGCCTAGGTGCTGTCCTTCAGCCTTTGTGCTCAAGGCTAGCACTCTACCACTTGAGCTACAGCGCTACTTCCCAGCTTTTTCTGAGTAGTTTATGGGAGATAAGTTCTCACAGACTTTTCTGGCTGGGGTGGCTTCGATCAGTGATCCTCTGATCTCAGCCTCCTGAGTAGCTAGGATGACAGACGGGAGCCACCAGCGCCCGGCTGAGCAAATCTTAGCATAGGAGCACATAGGTATGAAAAGAAAAAGAAATATGACATCTCAAGAAAGTCAGCAATCACACAGGGTGAGAATGACCACTAGGTTGAGGATGACAGAATGAGCAATGAGAACTGACCATTCTCGGTGAGGTCAGGGAACACTGACCACTTGAACCTCCTCTCCCGTCCCTCTCCCCTCCCCTCTCTTCCCTCTGCCCTTCCCTCCCCTCTCCTCTCCCCTCCCCTCTCCTCTCCCCTCCCCTCTCCTCTCCCCTCCCTCCCCTCTCCTCTCCCCTCCCTCCCCTCTTCCCTTCCCTCTCTCCCCTCTCCCTCCCCTCTGCTCTCCCCTCTCTCCCCTCTCCTCTCCCCTCCCTCCCCTCTCCTCTCCCCTCCCTCCCCTCTCCTCTCCCCTCCCCTCTCTTCCCTCTCCCCTTCCCTCCCCTCTCTTCCCTCCCCTCTCCTCTCCCCTCTCCCCTCCCCTCTCCTCTCCCTCTCCCCTCCCCTCTCCTCTCCCTCCCCTAGTTCTCTCTGGCTAAGGCCCACTGTAGACAAGAGCAGGAGCCACGGCTGAGCGGGGCATCTTACGTGGCACGTTGTGCTTCTGGAGGCAGCAGGCCAGCTCCGTGGGCCGCACCGCCTTCTGCCGGCTGTCCTGCATCTTCTCCAGCAGTAAAAGCAGCTGGAACGGGACACTTCTCTTTTGTTCTTCTGCTTCCTTTGGCACTGATATTCTGTCAAGTGAGAACAGTCCCAGGAACCTCTTCACCTGCACCATTGTCCATGTGCATTGCATCACTTGGAGAAATGTCCAGCTCCAGGCCACTCCCTTCCCATGAATTAGACCAGAGCTCCGGCAGTGCGTGGGGTTAAATGGGCAGCCACGTGAGGCTTGGCACAGAACCCTCCAACCCCCCACCCCCAAAATTCACAGTAGAGTGAAGGATAAAGTGTGCTCAAGTGCAAAACAGGGACAGACCGAGTGAGCAGGAGGGGGCCAGGGCAGGTGGAGGGAGGGCGAGCATGAAGAGCAGCTCATATGCATGTAGGAAAAGAGTAAGGAAAACTATCACAATCATTTAAAATGAGGCCGGGCATAAGAAAGAAAGAATAAAAGGGATAAATTTGATCAACGTATAATATGTACGGAAATACCATAATGAAAGCTGTTTGTACAATTAACAAACACTAATAAAAAAGGTTAAAATGAGCAGAAAATAAATCAGGTCATTAAAGTATACATAAATTTGTGTTGTGAATATCCAGTTATTCACAGTGACTTGGACTTTTGAAAGCCTTCTCAAAAATTTCCAGGAAAAAAAATATTTTTCATAAGATTCTGGACCCATATGTACAGCAAGCAGCAAAAGGTCCAGCCGAAGCACTTCAGATTGACAAAGAAAAGTCTGGGTTAGGTCCTGGAAAGAAAGGCCAACCGAAAAAAATACCATTGTGCCTGGGCAGTGGTTCACTTCATTGTGGACATCTCTAACTTCTTCAGCAAGTGGAGAAAAGGAGGTAGCTTAGGGCAAAAACAATAATGAATGCTGAAGAGTGTCTGTGCGTAAACATACTGGTCCCAGTGACTTTCTCCAGTATTGCTCTAGTTCCAACTCCCTTTTATTCAAACCAGTGCTGAAAATTCTATCTGTACATTCAAATCACCCACTAAGTATTTCTAAAGTACCAGTTGCTGGGCATAGGAGGTGTTTGCCTTAGCAGACAGAAGCAGGAGGAAAGGAAGGAGAGAGGGAAGGGGAAGGAAAAGAAAGGAAAGGAAGAAAGCCCCAGACCCCACCACAGGCCAACTGAGCACAAATAACTGAAGATGGGACCAAGCATGGGTATAGTTCTTAAAGATTCTTGCCAGGTGGCTTACATCCTAGCTACTCAAGAAGCTGAGACCGGAGAATCATGATTCAAAGCCAACCCCAGGCAGGAAAGTCAGTAAGACTCTCATCTCCGATTAACTACCAAAAAAGCTGCAAGTGGATCTGTGGCTCAAATAGTAGATCATGAGTCTTGAGCCAAAAAACTCAAGGACAGCACCCAGGCTCTGGGTTCGAGCCCCAGGACACACACAGACACACAGACACACACACGCACACGCGCGTGCACACATACACACACACACACACACACACACACTAAGTGATTCTAATTTGTAGCCCAGAATACACAGGAAAATATTTCCCCCTTCTGGCAATTTATGATAGAAGGCTTCTAAAAGTCCAAGTCACTACGAAAAAATAAAATAAGACACAGTTGCCTCACCTGAGTAAGTCTTACCTCTTCAATATCTTCGTGAACTCCACGTTCATAATGAATACCTGAATCAGGGCGTTAAGACAGCAGGTCTGTCCAATGTTGTGTAAACCAACTGGGCCTAAAAAGAAAAGAGGAAAAATGCTAAGGGAAACACAAAATATTCAACAAAAATCAGATGTTTTCCTTGAATCTACTAAGGCCGTGAAATGTGATATTCTCTCTGAATTCACTAGGGAACTTTTAACTATTTAGGCGACAAGATATCAAGCATGAAACTTTAGAATGCTAAATGATAAGGTTAAGTTTGAACAGCCTATTAAGGGAAAAAAAGACATGTCACAAAACAAGAGTGTCATTCACTGCAAAATGAGTAGTATAAAGCACTTATTGGAAGAGAACATTAAAAAGCAGCCATTACTGAAAGCTTATCTGAGGGGACTGTGGGTCTTCTCACTCTGCACCCAAACTGCTCTGCACAACTGAGCAAAAATGGGTGTCCAGAGGGCTCTGGGACAAGAGAAGTGTCAGCCAGTCTGTGTCAACCTCCCGGGGAGGAGTCCCAAGCCAGGTCCCCACCACAGATGGGGAGGGAAAAAAATGACAGCCCGGAGGAAGGGTCACCTGCTCCAACATCTCTAATCACCAGAGACAAAAGCCAGAACGACTGTAGGGGATATTCGCAAACCTGACACACTAGCAGCCAATCTCCCAGCTCACAACATGAGCCGTTGGAAAGGGGGGATGCTAATAAAGCAGGGGGAAGTACATGCCCCAGACACCTGCTCCCAAATCAGCAGGGCACCTTGCCTCCAGAGGGACTTGCACAGAGGTGACAGGGAAGACTGAAACCGAGGAGGACCGCCAGCTACCATCTGCCACGCAAACATTTAAAGCAACGTCACAGATGACTTCCCCCAGTCCGTCCAACACCCTCTGCTAGGAACTGCTAACTCCATTTTAGACGCAGACACTGAAGCACAGGAGACCAGGACCTACTAATATAATCACAGCTCTGAGGCTGCAGAGTACCGTGAGTAATTGCTAAGTGTTGCTGCACAGTGAGAACGAGGGAAGCGAGGCTCTCCTGACCGTGAGGGTGGTCCCAGGCACTAAGATGCTCTCTTAGCTGCACCCTCTTCTTCCTCTTCATCTTGCTGTCTTCTCTCGTCTCATCGAGTTCTCCTGGGCAATGCTGAGACGCAGCCAGGATGGACTGGTAATTTTCCCTCAGGAACGCAAACACCTTGCCCATGAGTAATCACTCTGAAATCCCCAGGCCAAGGGTGCCTGGCTGGTGCTCAAGACTCCACAATTCTACTGCTAGGAAGCGTTTCCATGAGCCAGGGCAGAGGAACCTCTGTGAAGACATATAAGAGACAGGTAAGGACAAGAGAGGGCATAGCCAAGTTCTTGCATTCGGTTCTGAGTCAGCTCTAAGAGGGGTTAATTCTGTGAGGAGTTGGAGCATAAAACTCCAAATTTGGGCCAGGCATCCATGGTTCACACCTGTCATCCCAGCTACTCAGTAGGCTGAGATCTGAGGATCTCAGTTCAAAGCCAGCCCAGGAAGGAAAGTCCCCGAGACTCCTATCTCCAATAAACCACCAGAAAACTGGAAGTGGCGCTGTGGCTCAAGCTCTCAAGAGAGCTTGCCTTGAGCTGAAGAGTTGAAAGTCACACAGCATCCAAATGCATGCTACAGGTGGCAAGAAGACTTTCGGCTGAAGCATAAAAGCCTTACATGTGGCTCTGAAACCGTCACTCAGCAAAGACACAGACCAAGACAATGTAGCTCAGATATACAATGAAATAAATCATTAAGTGATTACAATAACGAATTACCATTTGTGGCAATGTAGGTGACTCTGGGTGACATTATACTACATGAAATAAGTCAGGCACAAAAAGACAAATACCGAAGTATTATTTATATGTAGACGCAGGGGAAAAACAGCGATATCTCAGGAGACTAGAACAGAGGTTCCCAGAGATTGGATAGGGTGGGGGTGAGGAGAGATTATTAGTTAGCAAAATGCACTGGTAGGTACAGAGCTTCTAAGGTTCCAGACCGCCGTAAGTGGTCTATTTCAAAGTAGCAAAGTGAGGATTTTGAATGTTTCCAGGGCCGTGAAACCATGTGAGGTGGGACTAGACCAGTTACCTTGACTTGACACCCACCCTGTACACGATTATTGAGATCTTAGAGTCCACAGAACAAATTTGTGTGCAAATCAAAACTTTCAAAAATCGATTTTAAAGGCAGCTGTCAACCACTGATCCTCTTACAAGGCTCAAGCTTGGGGGTCTTAGCTAGAGGACAATTCAGCTGAAGATTCCCTCAGCAGAAGCAAGGGTACCGTGTGGACACGCGGCTGCCAGGTCTCAGGGGAAACAGGAAAGGCCAGGCAGGTGGCAAAGGACAGCCGGGAAGGCAGGGGACCAAAGGCAAAGGGGAAGCGAAACTGAGCTGTCTGTGAGGGGAAGGGAGCAGGCCAGAGGGCGTGGCTGAGTGATGAGACACAGACACATACACACACACACACACACAGACATGGACACACACACACAGACATGAACACACAGACACACACGCACACACAGACACACACACGGACGCACACACATACACACAGACACACACACATGCACACACAGACACACAGAGACACACACGGACACATGGACACACACACACACAGACATGGACACAGACACGGACACACACGGACACACAGACACACACGGACACGCACACACACACGGACACAGACACGGACACGCACACACACACGGACACACACACACACGGATGCACACACACGGACACATACACACACACACACAGAGACACACACACAGACACACACAGAGACACACACACAGAGACACACACATGGATGCACACACACACGGACACACACACACACAGACACGCACACACACCAGAGGAGAGGTTGGCTGAAGGCCCACCCTCACCCCAGCTCCAAACATAACCCCAAAGTACTGAACAAAGTCACCCCACCCTTCCTGAAATCAGCACCCTTAAAGTGAGGGGCAGATGCCCGCAGCGGGCGAGCCAGTGGGGTCCTCGGGGAGCGCAGGCTGTCCCAAAGGGGGGGACCCCAACTCCCCAGCCTGGAGGAGGTCAAGGTTCAATGCCAAGAGGACAAATCACAATGGCGGCCAAGCAACCCAAGCCGGCTCCGTCCTCCAAACTCAGAGCAGCGGCGGGACCACACCAGATCTGGATTCTCTCTCGGCTGGACCTTATCTGAGACCCAGTTCCACCATCCACAAACCCTCCTGCCTCAGTCTCCACCATGACTCAGTCTCCCTGCTCCCACCTCGGTCTCTTCCTGCCTCAGTCTCCACCATGACTCAGTCTCCCTCCTCCCACCTCGGTCTCTTCCTGCCTCAGTCTCCTCCTGCCTCAGTCTCCTCCTGCCTCAATCTCCTCCTGCCTCAGTCTCCTCCTGCCTCAGTCTCCTCCTGCCTCAGTCTCCCTCCTGCCTCAGTCTCCCTCCAGCCTCAGTCTCC